TATTATTATTATTATTATTATTATTATTATTATTATTATTATTATTATTATTATTATTATTATTATTATTATTATTATTATTATTATTATTATGTCAGCTTTTCCTGAAGTTGTAATTGAGGCTACGAGAGATGACGTGTACATAAGTAACGAGTTGACCTTGACCTGCGGTGCATATCACTTCAATGTATCGAGTATACGATGGTTCTATAATGACAATCAAGTAGGAGAGTTTGGGTAAGTTTTAAAATATGCTAAACTAGTAATCATAATTTGATCTGTGTTACACAACGTATTAAACATAAGGCAAAACATATACACATGTTGTGTTACTGTTTGTCTAGTGTATTGGGAATTACTTACTTTGGTTGTCTATACAAATACAGGGATGTGGAGTACCACATACCGTTTGTACTGGACGTCAACTACGAAGACAAGCAAGTCACAACTGGTACTTACAAATGTGAGATTACCAGTGACACAAAAAAAACGTATTCAGGAGTTTATCAGCTACAGACAGAAGGTAAATATTAAATTAAAAAAAGATTGTTTCACTGCGAAATAACCTGATGCTTATGTTGTAAGTTACGTGATTTCAGAATGTCCGCAAGGAATTCGGGGTTTACTCTGTGTTTGGAACTGCGCATGTTCAGTAAATTCTACTTGCGAAAGATATAGTGGATGTCTGTGTTTTGCTGGCCTTATGGGAAGCTCTTGCGATATAGGTGAGTGACTTTTAACTATCGTCGGCAAGCACAGGTGATTATATGCTAATTATGTTAATTGAGCTAATACATTCTAAGCGATATGTTTCCTGTTACTGCCCACTTTTACGAACGATCGCGGATAATTTACTCAAACAATTGCCACTGTAACCAAATTAGCAAAAAAAACTGATTTTCTTCTTGTGTCCAACTAATATTGAAAAAAAAATACCAATCAAGTTTAAGTTTCTTGTTTTCCATGGAAGACTAGTACCAGAGTGTTTTTCTATGTGATTATGGTGTGATGT